GCGATGCAATGGCGTCGTCGAGGTCGACATTTCTGGAAGAGCTGGACGATGCTGTGGGATTCGGCCCCAACATCCCGCGATCTTTCAGAAGTTCATGTAGTTGCCGATCACGTACAGCGGTCGCATCATACACCCTCTGAGTATTCCCACTTGGGATCCCGAACAGCTCGGCTGCATTTGGCACTTTTGGGATGCCAAACAGCTCAGCCGCATTCGGTGTAGCCGGAATGCCGAATAGCTCCGCTGCACTAGGCGTGGAACGCGCAGGTGCTGCATTGCTAGTACCGAGCACGTTGTGCGCAGGTACCGATTCCGCCACGTCTGCTGCTGTTCCCCGAACGGGATCGATATTTCCCTTCGGGATGCCGGTGACGAAGTTGCCATCCGTGAACTTCACATCCTCATCAGCATGGTTCTTGGCCGCATTCGATTCAGGGAATGCAATTCTTTCTTTGGCGACAGGACTAACCTGACTTGGAGATCGTATTTCAGGGGATCGTACATCTGCTCTTACGGAAAATGAATGCACTACATCCTTTCCTACATGCTCCCAGCCAGACTCAGTAGTCCTCGATGACAAGGGCATGCTTGAAGGTCGGGCTGATCCAACGAACAAGTTGGAACTCCGCGCTGCCTCCAGTTCACTGCGTGTCCTCGATTGGAGATCCTCTTGCATTCTGAGCGCTCTTCTGAGTTCATTTAGCTCGTCACGCAGAGTTGGCAATGATTGCCTTGCCTGTTCCTCACTCCTTTGGAGCTGATCTTCTGCATCTTGCATTCTTTTCACTGCCATTTTACGGTACTCTTCCTCTTCACCAAGCCGTTCACGAAGTCGTAGGTGTTCTTGCTGGATCACTGCATTGCTGCCAGCCAATCCTTGGATTTCATCCATGACCCTTAACTCCTGGTTCTTGGCGAGAAGGAATCGTTCTTGCATAGCATGCATGGCTTGTTCCGAACTTGCCGTGCTCGATCGTAGGAACAAGTTCTCCTTGGCTCGTTCATGAAGTTCTTGTGTCAGATGCTCGTACTCACGTGCCATGAGTTCACCATCACCTTGGGCTCGAGCTTCCAGCTGCACAAAGTTAGAAGCCGCTTCAGCGCGTAGCGCGTGAAGTTGTTGAGCTAGTTCTTCGGCAACTGCGTACCCTTGGCGTTGTTGAGCAGAACTCTGTTCATCCATACGGAACAATGCCGCTTCATAGTCTCTCTTCATCTCTTGATTCACATTGTTGAGATGCTGCATGGCTAAGCCTGCGTTATCTCGTTGTCGTTCCAATTCCTCAATGCGAATTCCAGAACCTTCATCTTCTTGCTGCATCTCCTTGATCTTCTCCATCAGGGTGTGGACAACGCTTTCGTACTCCTGCACTTGACTTCGGTAGTACATTTGCTGCGCAAGGCTCGAAGCCTCGAGCTGTTGTCGCAATTCCTGAAAACCTGTCGTTCCATCAGTTATGGCCGGGGTGTTGACTGAGGAAGCATCACCTTGAACTGGTATAGTATCAAGGGTCATGTCCGCATCGTCCGCATCATGTGGGTGATTCGTGACCATTTGTCTCCACGTCATTGTCTTGTCCCGTCCTCTGGTGTTCGACGTTCTCGATCGTGCTGAAGAGCTTCTCGAAGATGCCGGTCTGGCCTTCTTCTCCAATGTAATCACTCCTTTGTCCTTCGTTCTTGACGGTGTCCTTGGCGTCTGAAAACCAGATGCTTCGGCTCGCCGTTCCATCGCCTTGCCGGTCCTTGATCCTGAGGATGTTGGACGTGAAGGCGGAGATGCTCTCGGTGATGTCTTTGCTTTTCCTTTGGGAACTGCCTTTGCAGTGGCAAGAGTGGAAGACTGACCTTTGTCATCGTCCGTGGAACTGTCAACAGACTGCACCACTGTGTCATCGGCGGTTGAATCACCAACTGCCGGTGCTGCCACGTCGGCACCGAAAGTCATTGTCGTATCTTGGCTTGATCCCGAGTTCATTGTAGAAGTGGTAGATCAAGCAGTTCACGTAGTAGAAAGGCAGAGCCGCGTACGGCTGATAACCTGCGTGGGGATTTGTTCGTGTTGTTGCCCGTATTGCTCACCCCACAGAGCTGATGTATGGATAGTGTGGTTGCCCTTCAGGTACACGATCACAACTGCTCCCGTCTCCCACTATGGTCCCTTGTCCCTGTGCAAGCAGATTCCACGCAGCTTCCTTTTCCACTCTGCGGCCGGCAGTGTGAAGTCGGTGCACGGGACGGGCTCTGATCTCGAGGAATCACAAAGAACGAAAAGCTTTCGCTATGGGCATATGCATTCTAGTGCATGTGCTCACACTTGAGCCAAAGTTGCGTTTGGCGGAAGTCAGAAAGACTGGTAAAGCACCACGGCGTGCGTAGCACTGCCGCAAGCTTAACCGGGAACGAGGGACACGTAGCGTGCCCCCTATGTTGACCTATACATGGCCATGCTCACAGCTCTTATCGTGATACCATAGGATTTGACTAGGCATCGAAGTCCGTTCGCACTACCAGTGGAAGCGCAAACAGGCAGGCCTAGGCTAACTATATTAGTAAGTTTTAGTGATGTAACTCCAGACAGGACATCATGTCCATGTACGACAACGACGAAGCCATCGTCAACGAGCTTATCCGGATCAAGGACAACTGCCCTGAAAATAATGTATTGGTTCAGATTATTTAACTAAACTAATTAGACTAGGCCTGACGAGGCTTAGCTTTCGTCCACCTACTTTCGAAGTTGAGGGCTGCTGGAGGAACCCAAGTGTGGGTTGTATCCAACTCTTTGTAACATATATAATACACTCCCTACACACTACATCCTAAACCCCAGAACCAAAACCTCAGCTAAACCCTCTAGCCCATGAACCGAAGAGACCCTGAACCAACCACCCCAGCTAGCTAAGCCCCAATCTCAGTCACACACTCCACACCCACAACAGTTAACTAAACTTCCAAAAAACCCACCGTGAAGCCTAAGCCCGAAGCTTCAATTGCCAGGGTCGCCATCGCCCCATCTCCCGCCAGGAGTCCCAGGGACTGGTTCGCAAGCATCCTGAGTTTCCGAACAATGAGGCTTGGCACACCCAACATTTCGGTTTCAGTCATGAGGTTGAGCTTTGCTGCTGAATCAGGCTATGAAGCTTTACAAGGTCTGGGTTTCCTTCAGTGAAGACGATGTGGACACGGAGACCAGGGCGGTGGAGATCAGAAGGGAGGGTGAGATCGACCATACTGAGGGTGGTTTGGAGTTGGCACCTGCCACGACTGCAGGGCCGGCGGCTCCTGGTGGTGGTGCCTTGCCCCCCCCGCCGAACCCGAGGCCCCGCGAAACAAAACCCAAGAAGGAAAAAACTGCAGTACAGCAAGCCAAGCAGGCCGGGTCGTGCTGAATTTTCAAGCTTAAGCATGCTAGCTATAGAGGTTGGATTCACTCCAGGCCAACACAACAGCGAATGATTTGCTCCTGGAATCAGTGGCTATGATCACCGCCTCAAGATCCAGAAAGTGTTTCCTAACTGCATCTAATTTATCTTCGAAATCCCCAACCCCTGGGTATTGAGCCCTGCTGCTAACCCAAGCCTAGGTCAGATGGTCTTCGCAGTGCCTTTGTGAATGACATGAAGCTGCACGGTGCAAAGATCACACGCGCGAAGGAGCAGCTTGAGGCATTCAGAAATTTAGCATTAGCGAATAATTGTATTTTATATGATAATCTCTTGTTCGCAGGCCGCCTTGACGACCGGGACTACCGAGCAAGACTTGATGGTGCTGGTAAAAGAAATGGAGGTGATTATTAAGCACTATCGTGATGCATCGAAGCATATCAAAAGTTTGTGTGTGGAGCCGGCAGCCAAGAAGCAGCCGAAGACCAAAGCGAAGGCGAAGGCTGCAAAGTAGCCTGAGATACCAATAGGGTGTCTGTGAAATTTTGGATGACCGATATTGTGGTTTGACTCGGACATGCACTGGCTTAGTGCCGAGAGCCTGACTTAGTGTGCCATTTGATTTAATTGCATACATTGCATACCGGGGATAAGCCCTACATATTATGCTACGTGGTGCAATGTCGGGGGCTGCTGGTGCGTGGGATCCCGTCCAGAGTGTTGCCGCTATCGTGATCGTGAGTTCTGGGAATGCCTGAAGTGGCCATCCCCATGCATTTCAAAAGCTTACCATGCCGCTGTTCACAGGTCAAAATAGTCGTCGTCACTGCAATGCAAATGGTACGATGTTTGCAATTAGGCTTGACTGTTGCCCTCGGCCAGGTCCTGCCCCCTTTGCCGACTACCTCCTGTCTTCGCTGGGGAAAGGGGCCACTTGAGATCTTGAACTTGGGTTTCTGCTGGGGCATATTATAGGGGTTTGCTGGGATTTCTAAGTATGGGCTTCTTGTTGAGGCTGTTGCGGCTTTTTTTGGGATTACAATATTGTAACCCCAAACCCTGATTCCCTAGCCAAGCCCAGCTAAACCCTTAAAAAATGCATAGTTGGGACTAAGTCCTAAACCTGGATTCCCAACCACATATTATAGCTAAGCCCTGCTTGCCTAGATCGTCAGAAACCCCAAATCCCAAACCCCTTGAACTCCGAAACCCTTAAAGCACCCACTGGGACTGAATCCTATACCCTGATTCCCGAGCCTTGTTCCTGATCGTCAGAAACCCCAAACCCCAAGCATTGAACTCCGACGCCCTTATAATTATGAGTACCCACTGGGACTAAACCCTACACCCTGATTCCCGAGCCAACCCCAAGCCCCTTAAACCGCGAAGGCCAATAATTGTAAACCTAAAGCCTATAAGCCTAAACCCACCAAGGCGACTTCCTGTGCTGAGCTGCAGTGAGCAGCCGCAGCGATGGTGGCAGACTCCTGCCGATATAGATTATCATTATTTTTTGTTATACTACTCTATAGCTATACCGCATAGTGCTACGTGTAGGGATACTGCAGTACTGAGGAAGCTGGGGAAGAGAATGTTTCTGAATGGACGAGAAAAATGTCCAGGATCGGCTGCAAAGGCAAGTACACGGGCAATGCTGAAAGGGATTTGCTCCGAGCGCTACAACTTCCAATCGTGCCTTTGCAGCCCTATCTGCTAAGCCCTATGTAAATGTAAATAACGGCCCACCAAATAATGAATCCAAACAACCCCATATAACGGAACCGTACTAGTGCAACTCCTGCCGCAAACTGTCTCAATGATGCAAGGCTTTGTACTATGTGGAAATCCCGATTGTAGAGCCCAGTGATCGAAAGACAGAGCGAACCATGCAGCTGCCGATCATTCTGCCACACTTGACTGTAGAATACCTTCTGCAGAGTCGGAAGGTGGAGGTTTGTCAATCTGAGATTCAGAAATACTGGAGCCACTTGCGGGATGCTAAAGTGCCGTGGGCATTGCAGCATCCAGGTGCCTTTTCTTGTGCACCGCTGGGGGTCTACGGAGACGAGGGACAGATCAGCAAGGCCGGCGAAAAGGTCATGGTGGTTACTTTCAATTTTGTCCTGGACAACAGGGCTGGTGATGGTGTGATCCACCGTTTCCCGATTGCCACTTTACGTGAATGGTGTTCACTTGGTATGCGGTCATTGCATCCTTTGACTCAAGTGATGGCTTGGTCGTTCAACGTGGCCCGGCTGGTATTTCATACCGTCATGAGCACCACATGCTAGGAGTTCTTAGATCATGAGCAATGTCATCCCAGGCATTATACGAAGGCAAACACCCTTCTGTTGACTTCAATGGTCAAGACACCCTGCCAGTATGGATGAAGGCCAAAGCTGGACAACCCCTCCCAGGCGGGTTGGTCCTTCAGCATGCGCAACAATGCTAGCCGGCGGCCGCTCGCGACCCTGCCAGGACGTTTCTGTGTTACGGAGAGCAGAGGGGATTGGAAGTGGCAGAAGCAGTTCTATAACTTGAAGTTCTTCTGGTCGCATACAAATATCTGCCACGCTTGTGATGCATCCATCAAGGGCAACACAACGATTCTAGGCTGCATCGTCATATGTAAACATCATGGGATGTGTCTGTGTCGGGTGTGTCTAGGGGCTTCTCATCTAAGTTGGAGCACAGACTTGACCCGTGAGTTTCGGCCTCGCTCCGCTGCAGAGATCGTTGCCAGAGCAATGGAGTGCCATGGCCAGATATACGTAAAGTAATATGATTACAAATAATCATGGGTTTAAGGGTTCAGGGTTTTATAATTACTTCATCAATACCACCTGCAGGGATCCTGTGAATGCGATGCTTTTCCATCATGGCTTCCATCCTGCTATGTTGGCCTGGTGCTCAATGCACCAGGTGAATCTGGGAATCATGCAGGAGTTCAGTGGAAGTGCCGTTGTTATGCTGGTGAAACTCTGCTTCTGGGTCTGATATGTAGCAGTGTAAAACCAAAAAAATCGGCAGCCCGAAACCGAAGCCCTAGCTGTGTATAGAAACAATTACATTATAAGTCGTGATGTAGTGGGATCAATTAAGGCTTCTTCGGACGCTACAACCCTACGGACCATATTGAAGGAATGCACACGTCGCTTCAAGGCTTTCTGCACCTTCCACTCTCTTGAGTGCTAGCCCTGCAAGCATTCGTGGCTGTCTCTGGCTCTGGGCCCTGGTTTTTTTTATTAGTTAGATTCAACCCGAAAACATAATATATGTTCATCGATTCATATGGTATTCGAGGTGCAGCCAATGCTGGCTAACGAGTGGTATGCTGCACGACAACACGACTGGCTGGCCGAGTTTGAGATTGAAGGCCTACAATGCGCGAATTTTTCTGATGTTTCTGAAGGCGGCAGTGCAAGCTGCCAAATCTGCCCGACAAGTTCAAGGCCTTCCAGAGGACGCCGAGTTATCCTATGCTGCGATGGCTGCCAAAGCTTTGTGTTCGTGGTTCCATCTGGTTGAACGAACAGGGCGATACTTGACTCCTGAGCATGCAGCAGACCAGGAGTCGGCAGGTTCTAGAAGGCTTGCACTGCTCTATCACTTGTACGCGACTTTTATACCGTGTTGGATCTGTAAGGCTCTGCGGCTAGCCCGGAGGTGCCAAGGCATAAAGGCTAGCCGAGGCAGAAACTCCCCCAGTAGGCTAGTCTTTGTGAAAAGTCAGTGAAACTTGAGGAAAGTCACTACGAAGGCTTCTGGCGAGCCATTAGGCAAGTCAAAGGGCTAGCGAAATGCAGAGGCAAGGCTATCTGAAGGCTTCATTTTGCAGGCGCAAATAGGCTCAGAGGCAAAGGCAAGCGGTTTACCTGAGGCAGGCAATCGCTGGGCTCCGTGAAACTTTCGTGTGAGAAAGAAAAGGCTTCAGAACTGTGTGAAACGCGGTCGATGAAGACGAGGAGGAAGTACCTGGGCGCAAGGGTCAGGGCGGGTGACCTAAGGGGTAGGGCCTAGGGACGTTCCGCTTTTAAGGGCTGAAGAAGTAAGGCTTAGGCAGGGCGAAAGGACCTGAGGCAGGCGATTCGCGGCGACGGAGCGAGCTCGGCGTGTGCGAGCACGTGGCTGAAGTAACTTGCAGAGCATCGCTGTCCCAGACGAGCTGAGAAAGCAGGGCTGATCAAGGCGTCAGCAAAAGGTGCTCATTGAAGGCTGAGGCTGGAACCGAAGGCCGGCACCTAGGTGTGGGCGGGTGGGCTTTTCAAGATGACTCAAGTGCTAGAGCCAGTGCTGCGATGTGTCAGAGATTCACATGCCTCTAAAACATACGTGAACAAAAACACGAAACGTTCTAGAAGACTTGCACTGCTCTATCACTTGTACGCGACTTTTATACCGTGTTGGATCTGTAAGGCTCTGCGGCTAGCCCGGAGGTGCCAAGGCATAAAGGCTAGCCGAGGCAGAAACTCCCCCACTTCAGGGACAGATCCAACCGGTAAGGCCGCAGGCAAGTAGATTCCCCCACCGCGGGCGGTGGAGATGGACCTTGGCATGCGGAGCGAGCTGAAGGCTGAAACTCCGCTAGATCAAGCATGAAGGCAGGCTCATGACCTTTTTGTGCTCGTAGGCTAGGGCGTCGCGTAGTGCACGTTGGCCGATCCTAGAGACTGAGGCCGCTGTGGGCCAGTGTGGTCCGGTGGCTCGGACCACTGCGCCTGTGACGCTGCTGAGGCTAGGCGGCCTAGGCTGATTCTGACCCTTTCCTGTGGGCGATGGCTGAAGGCTTTCAGGCGCCCCCGGCTGAGATCGTCCGCCCACTGATTGTGGGCTCCTGCCACGTGCGATATCTGCAGCTCCACTCCGTGGCACGATGACCATGAGGCGATAAGCTGTAGGAACTGGGACAAAGGCCAGCTTGTAGTGAAGAGCTTGTTGATCCCGGCCTCCGATGGCGTGTTGTCGCTTTGCGACGGCAGGCAAACTGAGAACTGAGAGAGGGCGTGGCGCTCCCTGGCGGTCATGGCTAAGGCTAGCTGGGCTAAGGTCTCGAAGCAGGCTATGTAGCGCTGGGCATCCTTGGTGAGGAACGGCCATGTCTGTCGGACTTCCTCCATAGTCCACGCTTCGGCGAACCACGCCATGCTTTGCTTGGTGGTAATCCAACCACCAATGCCCACGCGGTCGCCCTCGGCCATGGCGTCGGCTCTGGCTAGGCACGACACTAATGGCGGGAGGGAAAGGCTAGTAGTAGGGATAGCCTCAATTCGAGGGAGAAGCCATCGAAGGCTGTCCTGGGCTGAATTGGTGAGCTTAATTTCGGGACAGGTGGGGTCCGAGATGCGGACCCACGTCGGGCCGGAAGACTTCGGCTGAGGCGGCAAGTCCGTTTTGCAGTGCACTGGTCGGCTGGCAACTTCAATAATCCGCGCCTTAAGGGGGAGATTCACCCCCGGCACTAATCTGCAAATGACGGCTCTGGAGTCAAGGCTGTGGAGGAAGGCTGGCCACATACGGGGAGAGATCGAGCAGTTGCTCCCCGGAGGGCTGTTGAGGACGCTGTACAGCGGGGCGACGTGAGCTCGAAGGACCTTGCTGATGGCTGTGGCCCACATGAGAAGACCTACACAGGCCTCTAGGTCTTTGCGGGGGACTTTCTTTTTGGAAAGTAAGGCTTTGATTTGCGAGCAGAGCTTGAGTCTTTTGGCCTCGCAGAGGTCCACTGTCTCAAGGCGGAAATTGAAGTGCCATCCGCACCAAACCAGGCTGTCCCCGACGGAGGCCTTTTTCCAGCTAATCGGGGCTGCCAGGCTGGAGAGGGTAGCGATAAGCAGGAAAAGGAGCTCGGGGGCAAAGGCTCGGAGCAAGGCCGAAAGGAGGTCGTCGACGTAGAGCCAGGCCTTGTGCGGTGCAAATGCCATGGCATGGTGCGCTATGCGCGTGATAAGCCCTCCCACGCGCTGCCACCAATAGGCTGAAAATTTTGCTCCAAAGTGGCAGACGACGTATCGGTAAAGGATCTTTTCAAACATGAAAAGTAGTAGGCCTTGCTCGGTGCTGTGCACCTTGACCCGCTTATGGGCTGCTTTGAAGTCGACGCTGGCTGCCAGGAAGACCCCCCGAGGGTCCGAGGGCATGAAGGTGGCTCTGACGTCGTTGACCGTTGGCATGGCTACTGCTTCCGGAATCCGACACATCGGATTAACTTGGCAAACTGTGCTGTCAAGGACCAGGCGTGGATCTCTGTTGTCGGCTTTAACCAGGCTAAGCTTGCCTACGGCTATGCCTTTGGGCCAAAGGCGCTTGGCTTCCGGAAGGCCGCCTGGTACTGCTTGGATCCAGCCCGCTCTTTCCTCCTCCGCCAGGAGTGAGCGGACTGTGTCCGGGTCGGCTTCCGCAGGCTTCCAGTTACCTTCACAAACCTCGAGGCCTGAGGCTGACAAAGGCTGTATCTTGGCTCTGGGCCAAAGCCCGGAGGGCGGGATATCGTCGAAGACTCCGGTGTGGACGCCTACTCTAAGTAAGGCCGGCAGGGAGCTATCTGGGTCCTTAAGGAGGTCGGCAAAGGCTTGCAGGAGATTGAGGCGGAAAGGCTGTCCGTCCGCCGCTTGCGTCATGGTGTCATAGTCCCAGTCCATGACCTCGCATGCGATGCGGATGAGCTCTAGCTGATACTCTTCAGGTAATGGGTGTTCTGGCCGGCTTTGCGAAAGGTGGGCAAACACACGCTTGGGCAGATCCCTATCCGTCGCCCATTTCAGCCAGGCTTTCATAATATCCTGCATGTCCTTAGGGCTGGGCTGAGAATGGCTCCAGTCGGCTGAACTGACGTTGCCGGCGCCGTCGCAAATGGGGGCTCTGTTAGGGAGTAGCTTATGGCCAGTCTGCAAGGCTATGGACAGGGTGACTGGCTGTTGTGGCTTGGTCGAGAGCTGCATGGCTGCAAAGAACCCTGATGCTTCCAGGGCTGTGAGGCCCGGATCCACGCAGGGCCAGGTAGGCAGGCGAGCCGTGGCCATTATGATTCTATCAGAGTCCGGCTCTGGGCAAAGTAGGAGGCCACCATCATGCAGGGCTTCGCAGAACGCTTGGGATTGGAGGAGGAAGTGGTCGGCTGAGAGGAAGAGCAGTGCTGAGGCTCCTGAGGATTTTATGGCTTGCAGGAAGGCGCAGGCTTCCTCAACATCCGTGGCAAGGACTTCGAGATCTGCAAGCAAACCTAGGACCACTCGGGCCCATAGGGATTGGAGAAGTAGGCCGGGCAGTTGTTGTGGGTCTTCCTTAGAGAGGTCGATAACACAGACGCTGGCATCTTGAGCTTGGCGCAAGCAGGAGACTCCTATGGGTATGTGTGGGCTGACTGCTAGGGTCTTAAGGCTAGGGGTCGGACTAGGCTTGGTCGCCTGGTGATGGCTGATAGCTGTCCAAACTCGGTTAGCAAACCTCCGGCCCGAAGGGCCCCCCCCTGGGTTAGGAAGCGGGGTCTGCTGCGCCAGGGAAGGCTGGCTGGGCGGAACTGGTGCTGTGGCTAAGGCTGGCGAAGCATGGGCCTGTGCGGAAGCGGCTGCCGCGGATGGCTGAGCGGACACGGCGGAGTCTGCCTGCGCGTGAGGCTGGGAGGGCTGTTCATCCGGCTGAGGGGAAAACCTTAACGACGCGGCAAAACTGGGGAGCCAAATGGCTGCGGAGGCAGGCAGGTCAACACCGGCTCCGGGATGCAATGCAGGAGGCGCTTGCTAGTTTTAGCTCCGGCGCTATGGCAGGGCGTCCAAAAGGCGTCGGCAGGCCGCTCTGCGACAGAAGAAGGCTACATTGGGATCGGACGGGGAGAAGGCTGCCGTAGAACGTAGAGTACCACAGGCCGCCCTATCCGATCCCAGTTGCTGTGCATGTACAGAGCCCCATGGCCCATTCTGGAATAGCTTGATTTCCTGTATCATCGGCTGGCGGTCAGGATCTTCCGAGTCGGACGAGTCGTCCCTGGCTGACGCGAAGCTCTCGACTAGAAGGGCCTCAATGTCGTCGGCAGGTATCGTTGGCGGTAGAGTCTGGGCATCGGCCTCGTGCTGGGTGTCATCTGCCGATAAAGGCGGAGCTTGCGGCGGAGCATCGTCCAGGAAGGCAGGCTGCGTGTCCTCGACTTCGATCTCTCGGGCATAAATGAAACGGCTCAATCCCTGGCCCAGAGTGGACAGCTGGAATGTTACAGGCGGCAACGAGGAGTGGACCTGGAACGATGGCTCGATAGTCGGGTGGTGGCCGCCCCTGGCTATGGGCCGGGTAGGCCGCCAACCCGATGCGCAGGCTGACGTGACCTCAGTTTGTAGGGCTAATGCTCCGAGAGTATCGTCTCTGCCGTATAGCTGCACGCTAGGGCTCTTCTGGTGCCCCTGCTGTTGTCGTATCTTGTCGGCTGCTTGTAGCTGAGCGCCGGCGCTGAGTAGGCATACCTTGAGGCTATGCATTGTGAAGGCAGACGCCTCCTCGGGGGTGAGCAAATCTGGTGAGGAGCCTCCCAGATGTCGGCTTGTTGTGAAGTACCTGAGGCTCCCAAGTGCTTGGCTGTAGGACATAGGCTGGTGGTACGCTGTGGCCGGCTTACCTGGGAAACCCTCTAGGTTATGCAGAGTAGGCAGAATGAAGTCTGGGCAGCTGCGGTCCCCGTATAGCGCTTCTGTGCGCTCCCAGGCTAGCTGTACCGCTCTTAGAAAGGGCAGCACCCAGAGGCTGGCCGGGTCTCTCCCTGAAATACCATGCAGGCGCACCGCAAAAGGCTGACCCCGTTTGGTGGTTTTGGTGTGCCAGCAGACTCCCCTGAGGCTGTGACCAGTAAGCGAAAGGCTTTTAAGGCTGATGCGCTGGAGGTCGCCGAAGCGAAGGCCGCCATGCAGGGCCAGCAAGAACCCCCCAAGGAGAAGGCATACCTCGGGAGGACAGTCTGCTTGGCATATGCGCCGCTCCCACGCGACCACCACCGCTAGGGGGAGCGGGAGCGCTTCCCTTCTGTCGGTCTCCGCTTGCGCCGCGAATGAGCGGATAAGGCGGTCTGAGAGTATAGAGGACAGCTGTGGAAGGCCTGCCGTCTTTGCTAGCCAGGCTAGAGCTTTGAGCATGGGCTTAGGGCCTGTGCGACAAACCTCTCGATCTTCCTCTAGGCTTGATTGGCATGCCCATAAGAGGTCCCCCAGATTGGCTACTGAGAGAGAGGCTATGGCTAGGCTGTTCAGCACTATGTACTCCACGAACTGACGGCATGCGGCTAGATAGGTCTCGAGGGTCCCGGCGGTGAAGGGGCTGATACTCTGCATAAGTAGCTGCTGCGAGTACTTAGCTTCGGCGGACTCTCCGAGGAGCCAGAGAAGCTCCTTCCACTGATCGAGGGCCTTGGCCTTCCTGGAAGCTTCCTGGCCTTTCCTGGTGATCTGTGCCTGGCCGCCGTTGACCTGACCGTGGGGCAACATGTTAGGTAGGCGGGGCTGTCGGGTGGAGGCCGGCGACGAGGCTGGTCTGGAAGGCAGGTCGTCCACATGGAATATCGGACCTCGGGGCCTCGTCGCGTCCGGCTGCAATGGCTGAGGGGCAACGTACATGAGGCTCCTTGGCGGTAGGCGAGGCAGTGGTCTGCATAACGGGCTGCTGTAGCCTAAGAGACGGGAGCTCCAGTGCGGCTGCACTAGAGGAGGTTGGGCTAAACCTCCCTTGCTGAGAGAGGGAGGGTACCGAGGGCGTGGCGGCAGACCTGGAGGCAAAGGCAAGTGCATGGACCTCGGCCGAATAAGGCTGAGAACCGAGAACGGCGGCACCGGACGCACTCCTGGCGGGCGGCTTGGAGGCGGCAATCCTGGCGCGGCCTTGTGCACTGTCTGAAGAGGCAGGAGAATGACGGCATCCGACTGAGAAGCCGACGGCTGCCCGTCGTCTGGGTGAAGCAGGCCGGACAGTGTCCAGAGGGGAGCCGGAAGAGACCTCCCTGTTCGCTGAGAGTCGCTGTGGCTGCTGTTGACCGGGCTCCATGAGTCTAGGCAGCTACCCTCGTCCTGCTCTGGGTCTGGATCCATGACGAGCTGAGGCAAGGCCGAGGGGGGCTAGGGCAGGCAAGAGAACAGCAGGGTCGAGTCTGAGGTCGCGGCAGAGCTGTCGATGGTCCTGCGGCAGGTGGCGCAAATGTGAGCTTGCAAAGGTTGGGGCAGGGCAAGCTGCACGATGCAGGGCTATTTTGCGAACTGCCGGCGGCGGCTCTCTGTGGCTAGGCTGGCCGAGGGCCCTTAGCCTTCAAAAACAAAGGACAAGTGAACTATTGCGGCTTACAGAACATAAGGCAACGAAGGCTAAAAGGCTAGAGGGCTAGTCAGCGCCTTAAGGCTGCCTGGGACGGCACGGCTGAAAACCATTCAAAAGGACTGCGCCCAAGGTCTGTAAATTCCTTGCAGCGCGAGCACTGGTGGCCCGAGTGCTTGTCCTCACGCTCGACCGAGCCTATATTGAGCTCACGGCCGCAGGCTGAATGGTAAGGGCAGTCTGGCACTGTAGAACATGGGATGCCGCAGCGCATTTCGCCACGGCTCCCCATATAATACATCCTGGCAAAGGCTGGGTCGAGCTCGTAGGTGCGGCAGTGTAAGGCTGGGAACAATAATGCAGTTGCGCATATTGGGACAAGGCAGGCGTGGCAGTGCCATGGCTGGTGGCTTGTACTGGTAAGGCGTGGAAGGCGGCGGGATGGTAATGTTTTTTCGGCGGTCAACCAAGGCTTGGGGAAGGCTGTCGAGGTCCTGAGGGCACATGGTAGGCACTGATTGCTTGCCCATGTTCCTGGGGTTGTTGGACCCCACGGCGCCCATGTGCCAGTACCGCAAGACGCCCGAGTCCGCAGAGAAAAACTCGGGTAAAGGCGGGCACGGCGGGTAAGACTGGGTGTCGGTTCCTGAAGGCTCTTCCTCTTCTGGGGAGGAGGCATCGGCTGTGGGCTCGGCTGGCTGAGGCGGCGGTTCCACCGTATAGAAATAGGTGTCCGTGTCCACTTCGACTGCGGCATCAGAAGGCTCTCCTCCAAAGTAGTTGATCCAGGTCCGGCAGTCCCAGATTATGGCTAGACCAAAAGGCTCCTGTGGGCGATACGGCCCAGAGTACTTAGGCTGGTGCTCGGAAGGCATGAATTCTGGCTTGAAAAGCACATTCTCACGAATTTGATGGTGAAAGGCTGAGGGTTCGGCCGGTGCTGAGCTGCTGGCCGCTGGCTCCAGTGAAGGCTGAGGGGTGGCCGCCGGGATCGCGGAAGGGGCCGGCGTGTCACCGGCTGTTGTGGCTTTGGCGGCGGGGAAGGTTGCGGCTGTGGAATGGCCTTGGTTGGGATCTCCGAAGGCTGGGAGGGCTGAGATTTGCCCGCTTCCGGCAAGAAAATCTGCTGTGAAGGAGGCTTCCAGTGCGGCGGGACCTCCGGTGGGCGCTTCTGCTGCGGCTTGGGAGACTGCTCGGGCTGTGTGGGCTTGGTGGAGGGTGGCGTCTTGGCTGGCGGCATCACTGCCCCCTTCGGCACCGCCTTGATGGGCGGTGGGTCGGCTTTGGACTGTGCCATTGGGGAAGCATCCGCTGAGGCACCCACTGGTGCCTGAGGGAACTGAGGGAAAAAGCTGGGTGGGGGGTTGAGTAGGAAGGACTCCGCTGGGAGGTAAGCACCTTCTTTCCTGGCTACGCCCAGATCCGGACGTCTAATAAGCTGCCAAAGTTCATGGCGGTTGATTGGCCTGCCCTGGGCGTCGCTATCAAAGAAGAGCTGGGGGAAAGGCTGTCCATGTGAGGCTGCAGTCACGATCGTATTCATGTCGACCTCCTTCCCCATCATGGTGTAGAGAACCGACTGTTCCTGGGCCTGAAAGGCTGGCGAAGGCGCGGAGGCCGAAGGCTCCTCCATAGGCATAAATTCCCCCTCCTCGGCGACCGGTTCTTCGGTGACCCCGTCGGCCTGGGAAGGCGGAATGAGGGTGCTCGGCGGCACCAAAGGCTCGTCGGCTGCTTGGGCTGCTGCCACATTGGCCGTATGTGCTGTGGAAGGCTGAGAGGGCTCGACGACGTTGGAGTCAGTAAGGTCGTCCATGTCCTGAGGTGGGACATAGTCAAAGCAGGCTGGGATCGGACCGGTATAACAGCCCCTTTGAGCATGATACCAGGCTGTTTGATTCGCATAAATCAGACGGCTACGAGGCGAAAGGCCAGAGTCATTATCTGCAGAAGGCCGAGGGTCGTCTTGTACGGCTGTATTGGCTGCAGATTGCGCCGAAGCCGAATGCATCTCCCGGATCCTGGCTCTGTCGGCTGGACCGAGGGTTGTGCCACGGAAGCTGAGGGGCAGAGTCGATTGCAAGGCAGCCGCCAGAGCAAAGCGAAAACTGTGCATGCAAAGTGTCCTGGCCAAGGCGAAGGCTGGATCGAGGGCGACCTGGCATGGCGCGCAAGGGGAAAATGTCGACAGAATCACCCCCGCCGGCCTGGAGAAGGCTGAGCCTCGGCTAAGTGGAAGGCACGCAATGACTGAGAGTGCAAGAAGCCGCAGGCCCACGAAATTGCTTTTTTCAGCAAAGGCAAGAAAGGCTAGGCTTCGGGATCTCCTTCGGAGTCCAGCAAGGCTGAGGGGCCGTGATACTGGCATGCATCGACGGCCCCTTCTGTGAAGTAGGGCGCGATGGCTGGGAAGGCCTGTTGCAAAGTAAGCAAAAGGCCGGCCAGCCTGGCATAAACCTGATCAAGGCGTATTTTCACGGCATCTATCTTGGCGCTGATAAAAACCCAAGGCGAGAGAAGGCAGCGAAGGCGGGGATTCTGGTGGGCACGTCTGCTGTGGTGCCACAAGGCCTGCTGAGCACCACGACGATCGGCTTCGAGTATTCCAATCCTGGCTTCCAAGGCTCGTAGCTTGTCCTGGAGAGTAAGTAAGGTCGGCTCTTCGGAGGGCTCCTGGCTGAAATCCTGAGTGGACGGGTCGGGCTGCAGGGCTTCATAGGCTGAGCTGGTATCTGGATCAAAGGCAAGAGGGCCGGACAGGCCAGCGTTCATACGGCCCATGGCCGACAAAGTAGAAACGCTGGAGGTCGGCTGTCCCTGATGCCATTGCAAGGCAGGGCTATTGCTGTACGAAGGCCAGGGCGTGCGCTGGGCACGGTCCTGGCGCCTTGTGGATTGGCTGCCCTTCATGGTGGCTGCAGCCAGAGCGGCTGCTGAAGAACACAAAGCTGGCATGCTCGGCCGAAACAACTGAGGCTGAGGCAAGATGCTAAGAGGGGTCACGTGGAGCCGGAGAAGTCGGCAGAGTCAGGCTGGGTGCCTAGGGAGGAGGAGCTGAAGGCTGGCGTTAATGCGGCCGGCGCGACAGGAGAGGAACTGGGTTTCTGCAAATGAGGCTTGATTTGAAAGCAAGAAGGGCAGCGAAGTCCTGCTCGGACCAGCATCTTTGCACAAGCTAAGACAGGCTTGGGAGGCTGAGGTGCCGGCCTTGGCTCGAAGAGACCTGGAGGAGCAGAGCGTAGGAGCAGAGCAAGTTCAAGGAAAGGGCTGATAGAGGGCTTCAAATGTCGGCTGGGTCGGACCGCTTTTCGCGAAGGCACAGGGCGGCTGAGGCTGCAACGACCAATGAGTTGCAAGTGCCTGAGCGAGGGCAGGGCATAAGCACCAAGGCTGGCAGGCCGGCCTGACCGCTGAGGCTGGGGATCCCGAAGGACCAACGGCAAAGGCGAGTCAGGCTGTGGCCTTGGCAATGCGCTCGGCTATGTAATCGTGGCAGGCCTTATTAAGAAAGCAGAGGGCTGCCACCTCCTGGCTAGATCCGGCGAAAAGCAAAATGTTGGCACAAGGGGCGACCCCAAAGAGCATCCCTTCAAGGCTCCATCCTAAAATAGGCTCGCGAAGTTCCTTGGTTGCAAACCAAAGTACTCGGGAAAGGCAAGGCTGAAAAATCCAAAGGATGGGGACCCGAAAAGGGCGCCAAGGCAAGGGGTGTCGGTAACGTAGGCCAGGCAGGGCAGAGTCCAGGCTGGAAGCCTGGGAACTACCCGAGCGGCTGGAGGGCTGGGAGGGCAAAGCCAGACACTTCCTGAGTCAAAGCTGCCCGTGTCGGAACCTTGAGGCGAGAGAGCAAAGCGCTCAAAGTAGGCTGGAGGGAGGAAGTGATAGCTCTGATACCCCCCTCCTAAAGGCAGAAAGGCTGGCTGAGGCGGAGACGGATCCGGCTGAGAGGAGGCAGGAGCAGCTGAGGCTGATGCTCGGGAGGCTCCCGGGGACAATTCCGAATCAGGCTCTGACGGCTGGGGACCGAGCCATGCCGATCCTGAAGAAGGCATCTGG